ACCTCCACACCAGGGTCAGCTTTTCTTCTGAATACAGAGAAACAGAGTGCCTTCTCCACTCCTTTTCCAAGACCCTTCTAAAGACCCAACAACTCCCACATCAGGCTTAAACCCACTGACCACCATCTCCTGCCCTACTTTTTTGGAAGTTAAAGACAAAATGCACAATGAAGCTCTCAGCAATCAAGGCTCAGGGAGAAGCACAGCCTATGTCATTGGCCTCTCCCAGCCCAGTCCTATTTAACCAATCTTAATAAACTTGCCACAGTTATGATTAGGGTCTTCAACTATAGCCCTCCCTGCCCCACCCCAGGCTCACCATCTTGGGGATTTCACCTGAAACAAAGGAGCAAACTTAAGAACCTTAAATACTAGAATGGTTCAGTTCTTTCATTCCAAGATTAATTCAGATAACCCCCCTTCCAGAATAATCTGGGACCTACCATACCTTTGACACTTAATTCATTAATTAATTGATTGATTGGAAGTCCTCATTTTCCCACCAGAAGTGAAGGTCTCTGCCCCTCCCTGTGCCCTTCTCCTCCCATGTTGGTCCCTGACTCTGGAGAGATGAGCTTCCTAGGTATACATCACCTTGTCACCATGTCACCCTGTCACCCTGTCACCCCAGGAACAGGCTCTGCTGTCCAGTTCCACTGTGAACATGCTGCGTTTTAGACAGCTCAGTCCTTCTCTTTGGGTCTGGGACATCACCTTTAGTCTTCCAGCAAGATACCGAGTATGCCCATGGCTGCGACTGTGGTTTCATTGTTCCTGTGCCCCTGACAACTCCACTTTGCCATACAAACCACCCTTCCCCCCACCCAGAAAAAAACCTTCAATGAAGCCCAGAAACCTAAGACCAAATGACCTTGGTGAGGTGAAGACATGAGCCAAGGAGGCCAGCGCAGAGCACAAGGAAGCAGCCTAAGAAAAAAAGTCAGGAGGGAATAGTGGAATAGTGGTGGGATGAATGGTGGTAAAGGCTGCAGAAACCTATCTGGGGTTCAGAATGGACCACAAGCTATCTATAAGCTAGAATCTGGGTTGGTCTTCCTCCAGCCCAGATTCTACCATATCAGTAAAGCACAAAAACCATGGGCGAGGAGTAGAGAACAATACCTAAGGATAAGTCAGACTGCAGAGGGAATGTCCTGAAGAAAAGGAAGTGCAGGCACATTTGAACAGAATTTTAGGAAGCCTTCACGTGTGTATATGATTGGCTTTTCCACAGAGGATAATTGCTGTACTCTGTCTCCCTAAGAGCAGAAGAAAAAGGGAATCTGAGTTATAACAGAAGGATTTGTGGTTAGACACGAGGAAGCATTTCCCGAGCACAAGGTTATAAGCCCCAAAAATAAGTGATCGAGGGTGGTTGAAAAAAACTCCTTGAAAATCTTGAATGGAAAGTCACATTTTTCTGGGAAGGTTTAGGAGTCCAGCTACAAAGTTAGATTCAGTGACCTTGGAGATCAGTTAAAATACTCTTGACTTCCAAAACCAATGAAAATTAGGTTAGATTAAAATAGATTAGGTTAGATTCTTAACCAGTAAAATTGGCCACCTAACAACACAGATGTCCTGACCAGAGTGCCCACAGGCCACAAAGTGAGATTCAGGAGTCAGCCACATGGCCCTGAGGTGCTTAGAGTACAGACCCCAAATCCCATCAGCTTATCCCACCAGGGACTCCTCCTAGGGACCATGACAAAAAAGGAAGCCAAAAGATTGGAACCCTAAGCAACTTCCAACCAGAAAAGGTATTTGGTTTCCCCAAGCCCCAGGCACACAGGTGGCAGAGCCCCACCTGTCTCTCAGCCAGTCCTTGCTCCCCGGTTCTGGCCAAATCACAGAGGGCCATAAATTCACTCACCTGGTGGCTGTCCCTTTCCATGGTCTCAGAGGGATGAGTCTCCAGGCTCAGCTAATGTCGAGAGGAAGATCCATGTTGGTTCCCTGCTCCCCAGGCATGTGGGGAAAAGGAGGCTGAGGGCTGAAGGCTGGCCCCACCAAATGGGGCGGGGAAGATGGTAGGGATGTGTGAGGTAATCCAAGTATAAACAACCAGAACTGGCCAGACCTGTCCCTCCGCCCCATCCCAGGCCACCCCAGTTACTCAGCGAATACCGGAATACTGGAGTGCAAGCTACCTCTTCTCCAGAAACTGCCCCCCCACCACACACACCCAGCAGCCACCAGGGCTGCAGGCTGCTCCTACCTGCAGGGGACCCAGGAGGCCCTGTGCAGATGGTTTAGTCCCCATTGGCCTGAACCCTCTAAGGGATGACCCTGTCCCCACAGGAGATGTCCAAGGCCGGGCAGAGTCCTACTCAGTGTCCAAATGAGGGCATGTGGCCTGGCAATTTTCGTTTTCTGAGCTCTTGTTTATTTCTATGAAAACTCAGCCAAAAAATTGAGATCAAATGACCTTTAATTATGTGCATAGTGAATTGCCTCCATTGAGAATAATAAAATATTATGAAACCACACGTCAAGGTTAATTAAAATAAGACATATAACTATCTGAATGGAAACCGGTCTGAGAAATATTGGGGTGACTCATGATCCTATGCTGTGCTCCATTCCGATGCTTCAAAGAAGTAGAGGAAAAGCCACACGCCCCAAAGCTGGCAGGGCTGCTGAGAAGGGGCTTTAGGTGGACTCTGGAATGAGCATTCCAAATTCTGAGCATTTGGGAACACTAAGATTTTTAGAGTGTGAAGGAAGTTCAAAGATCCTGTGGCAGTACCTTCCATCTTGTTTTTCAGATGAAGTGACCGAGGCCAGAGAGGCTAGGGAACCCACACAAATCACAGGCAATACAGAATTAGCACTAATAATCAGGTGCAGGCTAGCCTGTGAACTGCTTTACACAAATTCTTCGTGCAGTCATTCAAGAAGAATTTATCAAGGGCCTCTTACATACCCTGCTCCAGTGATAGCATAAAAACCAACATGGCCACAGGATGGTCAGGAAGGGAGACAACATCCTTTGCTAAACCTTAGGGATTTTTCGGGCACACAGGGATCATATCAGGAACTGAATCCGACAGAGAGAACAGTTTTCCAAAATCCAAATACTTCCCAAGTTTGAGAAATATGAGATTCACCAGCTGGCCCCCTGACCTGGACACTTAAATGGATTTTAAAAATGGGTGACTACCTTAGTTTGTGCCAGTTTCTTTTTTCTCTGCTTTTTTTTTGGCAATGCTGGGGCTTGAACTCAGGGTCTACACCTTGAGCCACTCCACCAGCCCTTTTTTGTGAAGGTTTTTTTCGAGACAGGGTCTCTTGAACTATTTGCCCAGGCTGAAGGATCGAACTTCGATCCTCCTGATGCCTTCTAAGTAGCTAGGATTATAGGCGTGAGCCACCGGCACCCAGCTAGTGCCAGTTTCCAACTACTGAACTTCCTCAGTTCTGCCTGTCTTCTCTAAAGGATGCTCCTTTTGTTACAAAAGCTCCAGTTTTGCTAAACCTCAGTGGAATACCCTGGGTTTCTAGACAGAGCCTCTGTTCGCTATGTACGATTCTATTCTGCATGTGAATAAAACAGTTGGCTTTTATTTTAGCCTCCTTTATGGTTTCTTAGTTTACACTAGGGACACAGTAGCCCAGGCTCCTTAGAGCCACTAGCACTGAAGGAACAAATTAATAAGCCCATAAGCAGTACACCAGAAAATGCAATAGGGAAGAATAAGGCAGGAAGGGACCAAGACAGCTGAGTCACAGTATGAAACACAGTGGCCAGGGATGGGCTTCGGGTGAGATTTGAGCAAAGACGTAAAGGAAGAAACTAATACTCGGCCCCATTTACATCTGAGAAGCATGGAGTGAAAACTGTCTGCTCCAGCTTAGGGTATTTGAGGGAAATTGAATTCAGAGGCAGAGGCAGGAGGAGAGAATTTCTGGAAGACCCAGACAATGGCCATAATGAGGCAGGATAGATAGATGAGACAGGAAAATTATATTATTTTAATAAATATTTAAATGGCCAGACTTAGACATTGGAACAAGGAAGCAAAAACTGAAAACTAGCCCCCTCCCATTTCCTTTTAGAGGTTAAGTTATAAGCTCAGGGAGCTTAAAGTGGTTTCCTGCATCTGCCTTCTTTTTTGAGATGCTAACAAGCTGCATAGATTCTAAAATGGGTTGAGAAAAAGGCTTCTTAGGCAAAGTCCTAAAACCCCATGTTTTGGGTAGACCTAGATGGCATCTCTATATTTTATAATAATAAACAGCACCCATCTTGGGCACCCAGAACCATCATCTAACAGTTAGGGTTGCTAGACTTCTGGTGAGGTGGATTCTCCCATTCCCAGAAAGTGTAAGACCACAGATGCTGAAGCACCATTTTGAGTCTTCGACCCCATTTCCTGCGTGGGGAGCAGGAAATGTTTCTCTGTCTTTCTCCCCCTCCCCGTTTCTACTTTATCCTGTTATACTAAAATGAATCCTTGCTAAAACTTCTGCTTGTGAGACTCCTTGTTGTAAGACACCTTGAGATGTCTTTCGTGTTTGTAGATTTTGTGATTTTTGTGTAGAAACTGGGAAGCTGTGGGAGCCCCTTCACCCTCCTTCAGTAATATAAAAGTAGGAGCCCCTAATTTTTGGGTGCTATCTCCCTGCCTGTCCAAGAGAGCAGAACTCAGGCCCAGCCCACACCCTCTTTCTGTCCTCCCACCACAGGTCATTCGGTCCAGAGGACAATCTGGCATTGTGTCCTGGCTCCTCCCCTTCCCCCTCTCTATTGAGCACACAGTCCCCTCTCTGGCCACCGAGGAACAAGGCTACCATTGAATCTTGGTATCCATAGGACAGGCATGAGGTCCCCACTGTGTCGCCCAGGCAGGCCACTCACCTCTGAGGGTCACCTTCAACCTCTTTTCCTGCAGGTCCTATAACCTCTAGCAAGAACTCAGGCTTGGGATTCTGGGTGAGCCAGAGGCAGTGAGTAGAGGTAAAGGCAACTGTGTGAACTTGGAGGTCTGTAGACCTACCTCCTGGAAAATGGTGGCGGAGTCCTCATCAGAATCCACCAGTGAGCAGTGACTGCTTAGCCTCAGGCCCCACAGGAACTGCTGGGGCAGGACAGGGGACAAGGTGGTTCCAAAGAGCAGGATGGCAGGGCCCCTGCCTGAGAGGACACACAGGATGTGTTTTGGGGATGGGGACACACTGAAGCCTGAAATTCTTTGCTAGTAGTTTTCTCATTTCCAGAGCACAAGGTGCTTGGGCAGCTAAGCCCTGGACTCTCCCCCCAGTGAAACCAGTCTTGGAGCCACTCCTGCCCTTGACTTCCACACCTTACCCTGGCTCTAAGCCCTCCTGCTTTCTGCATGATGCTGGTTTCCCTCTGGTTTATCCTTTCCTTTGCCTCCACCCATGCTGTCTCCCTGTCTGCCTCCTCTCTCTAACTCCCTGACTGGACACCTGGCAGCTCCTGACCCTTGACTACTCCCCACCCAGGGACCATCTGGGGACTGGAGGCCAGCTACCACACCCTTTCAGACCCTGGTCTGTCTGGGTGGTCTTGAGGCAAGCTATAAGTAGGGAAAGTTCGGGACTCATATATAGGTTGCCCGGGGAAAACCCAGACCACCCTCACCTGGCTGGAACTGCCTATGCTCCTCCCCACTTATTAATTATTGGGTGAAAATCACCTGGTTCCTCCCTTCCCATAGATAAGCTAAAGTTTTAAAAGTACTTGAAAAATAAAATCTTGCTCTCTCTGCTGGCAGACTCCACCTGCACTCCATCATGCTCCCTTTGTATTTCCCTTCCCTAACATTTAATAAACTCCCCTCACACCCACGTGTCCTATGATGGATTCTTCCCTGCGAGACACAAAGAATTTGGAAGTCTTCTGATGACAGACTGCACCAGCACCATCAACAGTCTCCCTGGGTTAGAGGGAGTTTTACATAAAAAACGTCAGCCAGACAAGTGAGCACATGGCTCGTGGCATAAGGCGGGAAGGAAATCTCTCTACTGTTTTGAGACTAAACTCCCAGGTCTCTGCTTTCACATCTGCCCCAGCTGCCTCTACCTGGCAGCACTGGGATTCCTTCCTGGGACACAGAGGTCTTGGCCAACCTTGTCACCTTCTTGATTCCCATGAAGGATGAAGCTCCTTTTTCCCAATGCTTCATCAGCCTCACTCCTGAGTCACCTCCCCCACTCCTTCCATGGGACTCTAGGGTTCCCTCCCCTTCCATGCCCCATCACTCAGAGCACAGCAGTGGGCTTTCCTCCAGGCCTGAGGGTGACCAGGACTCAGAGCTACCTACAGGGTAGAGAGGAGACACTGAGTCACCCAGAAGGAGTTGGTCACCAGGAGTCACCATCTTGACGCCAGGTACCTCTCCCTGCCTCTGCCAAGCCCAGCCTTCTTCCTGGCTCCTGGACAAGGCAGTTCTGGAAGTCTCTAGGCTGTGGCTCCAGTCACCCCTCTCCCCACCCCACGCCTGTACTGTAGTAGGTTGATATCTACTGTCTGAGTCGTGGCTGGGAAGGAAGATTGGTTCTTTCTTCTTGCTTTTCCCTCAGGGCTGGGTGAACGTGAGCAAGTGAGGTGCTTGCTTGAGCCAAACAATTTAAGAGGGTGTCCAATGAAGATATATTTTAATGCAACACTTAAAAAGGCAACATTAATACAAAGAGTCCATGATTAAGAAAATATAAAAATTTTAGGTGAAGACAGGATGAACTTTCTACCCAGATTTTGTCTTCCCTTTTTTTTTCTAACGGGTTGGCAGGGGTTCCCTCTCCCTCATGACTGCTCTTCCGTTCTCTGCAGGCTGCCATCTTGCAAGCTTGGGAGAAAAAGAAATGTCTAGGCCAACCAAAGGCACGGGAGGCCTCTTTCCTCTCTCTGCACAGTGCATACTCCAGCCCTGGAAAGCTGCTGGCTTCTCTGAACATTCACCTAAGTCTTCATTTTTCATGAAGGGTTACTTCACTCAGAATCTTCACGAGCCTGCCCAGCCTGCAGATTCCTTGCTGTGACTGGACAAGAGTCCTCAGAATTAAGCACAAGTGCTGCCTGACCATTGCCTGGGCATGGACATTTGCCATCAATATGATCTAAGATTTGGTTTTTTAAATTAATAATACACCAAAAATAAGTGCACAATTAAATAACTTCTGACCCCCCAAAAGTATGTACCCGTGTAACCAATCAAGATCCAGAATATTCCCATCAGCACAAAAAGTGCCCTCTAGTGTTTTGTGGTCAATCCCCACCTCCGGCTTCCCCAAGCCCCAGGCCATCACCTACCTTCCATCCCTAGAAGTTAATTTTTCTTTACCCAGAATCTCATATAAATGTATTCTAAGATTTACTGGTGTACCTAAACACAGACGAGCAAGGCCACTGCCTGGGACTCGTGGCAGATGCTCAATTGGAAGGTATTGCAAGGGGAGGCCAGAGATGGATTTTTTTCAAGCCTGCAGCTTACACAGAGTCTTGGTCCCCAGCTGGCCTCATAGACCTCCCTATGGAAGGCTTGTGGGGACTCTGTGGGGAGAGGCAGCTGTGAGGTTCTCATTTCCAGCAGACACTGGGCCTCTCCCCTGGGCAATGAGACAGGGGAGAGAGAAAGGACACTCCCAGGAGGGAAGCCAGAAAATGAAGGTGGCCAAAGGACCACCCAATGGCCCCCAGCAGGTCTGTGAGAAAGTAGAATCTAACCCAAGAGCCATGTCCTCTCTTTTGCCATGAGATTTGCTGCCCTTCTGTCTTGTGGGGCCAGGGGAAAGCCCTGCTCTTCCCTCATGATCGGTGCTGTTCTCATTGTGAAACAGGAGTTTTGGACCCAAGGCCCAAACTCCTGAGATTCCATCTGCCAGGTCTGGCCACCTGCCCCTAAACACCAAATAAAGAAGCATTGTGAAGGCAGAGAAAGGAGGTTTATTACACAGCTCAGAACATGCCATGGGAAGAGGCAGAGTTAAGCATTCAGCTCATCTTCAGCCATCTTTGAGATACAGACATGAGCTATAGGTTTAAGTAGACAAAAGAACTGGGAGCAGGGGACAAAGGTATGCATAGTTAAACAGTCCCAGTCACAGATATGTCCCAGTTGACCACTATCTCAGTCCACAGGTTCCCAGAGGGTTTTCAGAGAAGATGTTATCTCTGTCATCACTTGAGGGGAGGCAATCTGGTTCCCATGAAATGATTACTCCTGCTCCAGGGTGTAGCCTCATCTTCACAGAGAATTGTCCTTATGGAATATTTAGTCCCTTGTCATAAAGATGGTATCAGTTCTATCCTTTCTGGAATCCAAGGTGATCACGAAGTGACTGCAAAGAGAATGGCTTAGAGCAAAAATAGCTACAAAATGGAGGCAGGGATGCCAAGCTTCTGTTTTTAGTCAATTTGTGGGCCCAGGTAAGGAGTCAGTGCTTTTCAGCAAATGCAATTTGAGTGCCGCTTACAATTACATCATCAGAACCCCACAGTTAGAAGGAGAGAAGCACCTTTGAAGGGTGAGCAGTGGGCAGCAGCAGTGAAGCAGGCTGGCTCTGCCCTCTAGGACCTCTCAGGCCAGAATAGCTGAGCCCTCTCTGTGTACCCTGCCTGGTAGCTTCAGGGCCTGTGCTCCAGGGGATAGGAAATACCATCTTTCTTTGCCTCTGGGCAGAGTCCTGGCTCTGTGGGTTCCACCTCTTTCCAAAGAAGGGTTTGACCCTTCTTTGTGATTCACCCAGTTGGGCTTGGTTCTTAGTTCCCCTCTGTGGAAATACAGGGCAAAAGTCAAATCCTATTTCCTCATAACAGCCCTTCTTATGCTTGAGGGACAGTTTGGTGACCTTCTGAGGAAGTTGCTTTTTCTAGAGGATCACACAAAGTTCTTTCACTTGCTGGGTGAACCTGCCTGAGGTGAGGCAGTTTTGGGTCCTCTCACCTCTGTGAATTTCTCCACAGAGATGGAGACCCAGAGCCCCATGACAAACAAGAGCTAGAATTTTTCTAGGACACATTTAAAAGAGTGTCATCAAGTTCTAAATAAATGGGCCCCAAAGCAAGAAAAATCCATAGCCATATTTACACAGGCTCCTCTGACTCTAGATAAAACCCACCAGTTGTTCCCATCAGGCTGCTGCTAATCTGTCCACAGAAATGAAACAGGTGCATGCAGACAACAGACTGGAGATACTGATGGACAGGCAGGGCTTAAGCCCAGCAAGGCAAACTGAGTCTGTATTTAAATGTTCCCTGAGTGGAATATTCATAAAATAAAGAAGGGTGAATGAGTAACTTACTTCTGTGACTACAAGAGTTTCACACTCAGATGGAAACATCTTAAACTCCTGGCTGATCCATCCAAGGGGGCTTTCTGGAGGAGGTGAGAGTCCAAAAGCTGTGGGAAAGACAGACAGTGAGACAGGCCAAACCCCAGGGCCATCAGAGGGAGCTGGATAAGGCCAAGAGGAGTGTTCAGAGCAGTAAGCCTGGCGTGCTTTGTGGAATGGGCTCTGAGGTGAGAGGGTACAGAACTACACCCTCATCAGGAATGCTTGGGACCTCTGGACCATCCCTCCTGGGCTTTGGGTTTTGGAGTCTTTTGGATCTTGGAATATTTGTATACACATAGTGAGATATACTGGGGATAGGGCCCAAGTACAAAACTCCCTTATGTTTCACACACACGTTGTACCCACGGCCTGAAGGTAATTTGATCTATTCCTAGTGTATGTGCATTTTAACTGTGACCATCGTGTGAGGCCAGGCATGGAACTGCAGGTGTGCTATCGCGTCAGCCTTCAAAAAGTCATATTTTAGAGCATTTTGAATTTCCAGTTTTTGGATTAGAGATGACTGGCCATACCTCTGTGTTTTGAGGCAAGTTACCATTTCAGAACCTCAGTTTCCCTGTCCATAAAATGAAGAAAATAGTCCCTGTCAAACAGGATTTATGGCCATTCAACAAAATCATCTGCGTGGCACATTTGGAACAGGACCTGCACATAGTGCTCAACAATGAATAGTAGATATGATGATATGATGACGATGACAATGATGTGTGTGTGTGTTGTGGTTTGAACAACAAATAGCACTTTGAGAGCAGAGGCTTAAGTTGTGTGCTTTGAATCTAAAGCCCAAGAAGGGTCCTTTGCTGAAGAGTTGAT